CTCTTCCAAACCTCCAACTTCTTTTTCCATCTAAACACATTACAAACCACACAAGGACAACAAGGGAACACACGAGGCATTAGGGCAGAGACATCTGGCCAGTCCCCATCTGCCAGATAACTGTCACTTACAATCACCATTTTAATTTGATTCTTTTTTTTTTTTTTTTTTTTGATCCAATAGTAAACTTTGCTTGTATTGAATTCTAGGAGAATTATGCTGTTTGACGTACAGTGGCAATTTTATGCTATTATACTTTTTATTGTATGTGCAGTAAGAACTTCCTAAATAACGTCCTTCAGCTTTGGTAAAAGCCGGCCAGAGATCTGTATGCTCTCTCACGGTGCGATGAGACGATCGGACTGAACCAAAACGTGCAGTTTCTTTGGCATTATGAGCGACGTGTATTACGGCTGTCTTATTCTCTGCCTTTAAAATACCATCACGTGTTCAGAGCGCAAGGACTATATTTAGTCTTACGGCATATAAGAGTTTGTCTGATAAATGACAAAATTACTGATACAGGAGGAAAACTCAAAAATTGTAATGGGATTCTGATAAAACTGATTCAGCTACTTTTTCTAAGGGGAGCAGTAAGAACCAATTGAAAAATTAAAGCCTAACCCATCAGTACTGTCTTAGAATACGGCAATAGCTTTCTATGGCACAAAATTACATAATCTCTGTAAGCCAAAGATTACTTAGCAAAAATACATTTGGTGCTTTTAAAACAACTGAGGTGTGAGGGAAGAACATTGTTAAAAGAAGTCAAAGGTGCCGAGCCGTCTTCTTGAAAAACTAATGAAAAAGACTGCAGATAGTATAGCAGAAAGCTACCATAAAATGGCAACCTTCTGTGGAAAACATGGTAGCTTTTACATTCCTTGCTCAGAATACAGGTGAAGTAAATCCATTAAAGAAAAGACCACGGACCTACTCTCTAAATATAACTTTTACCCCTGTAGGGACAGTGAGTTAAGGTAATAAGATATTAGCAGTTCAAAAAAATACGACCCCTGCTTTGGCAAGTGAGT